GCCTCTGTGGTTTGTGTATTTTCTTCTGTCTCCCTTTTTTGGCTTCTAAGGCCAAGCAGCTTTGAGGTTGTGAACCTGCAGGAGCGTCTCTCCCGACTCCTCTCCCATCGTCTCCTGCTCGCACTTCTCATTCGTCTGCAGAGATCTTAACAACCTGCTGCTGTGTTGGCTCTGGACGGGCTGTTCCTTCTGCACTATGCTTCTGCGTCCACTTGGTGAAACTTGCCTCAGGGTTGGCCTCCTCCAGGAAGCTGTCTGGGCCTCCACCTTCTAGAGAGTTTATTGCTCCTTCCTGATTCCTGTAAACTTTTTATTATATTTATCATACTACAATATACTTATCTGTTGACATGCGTATGTCCCTTATTAAGTTGGTAGTTGCCATGTAGTATTTATCCCCAAAGTCCAGCAGCTGGTTGTATACATGTAATATTCTTGGGGCTCAGAAATATGAGATTAGCTAGTGTGCCAGGTGAATATTATACACATATATAAAGAAAAGGAGACTTTGAGCACTGAGAAGGTTATGGTGAACTCTCCTGTTTCAAATAGGCTCTAAAGTGAATGTAAGAAAATCAGAGTTCTGATTTTTAAATTAAATGAAATTTCTTTAAGTATATTAATTATGGAAAGAGTTCTGATTTTTTATTCCATGATAATTATTTTAATTATGTGTGTGTGTATGTTTGCCCTAAATTTAGGACCGTTCTGCCTTTTGGGTAATCCAGCACTGATAAAGAATAAATAGTGAATGTGGGGGTTAGTGTTTTTGTTGTTTGGTTATTATTTTAATTTGCTGTGGTCTTTTATTTTACTGTGAGTGTTGCCCTGTGTTGGACTCTCCATTCTCTTCATGTCCTATCTACCTGCCGTAGGCTCCTCTCCCTGTCTCACCCCAGTTGTGACCAGTGCTTTTCTTTTTACTTGGTGATTAAGGAGCACTATGTCTTGTGATCCTGGGACAGAGCAAAGCTAACTGCCATAAGAGACATATTATGGTTCTCAGCACTGTTGTTTTCCTAAAGTGAGGGCCATGATTCCAAAGCAAAAGTATCACCAGGTCTGCTCTTCTGCTTTGGACTCTGTTGGGGGGGCGGGCAGGAGAAGAATCTCCAGTATTTAACGGGGCCTCCAGATGATGCTCATGTGCACTAAGGTTTGAGAATCACTGCTTACAGCTCAGTTATTAATGAGTACAGTTTAAACAGAAGGAGTCATACATTTATGAGGCTCCTATAAGATTTTCTCAGTTCCTTATTTAGGAAATATTTGCTACCTGTAGTATTTTACATTTTTTGTAGAACCTGACATCCTCACCAGAAAAGGCCTATTTGCTCCTGTACCCTGCTTTTCCCATTGTTCAGAATTCCCTGTTTTCACCCCAACCACTGCATAACATGTTTACATCCACCAGCCCAGACTTCTTAGGAATGAACGAAAGAGTCTTTTTGGAAACTTCCCTGTTGTGAATGACAAAAATCATGTCCACTGAAGGTGATCGGTTTGTCAGACCTGGAACAGCTGGTTCTTAGGAAATGGGCCGAGATTACCAAGCTAACAGGTTCAAGAGAGTTTAGTTTGCAGTATAATTACCTGATACAGTGTTGGGAACCTATGATTCTGACAACCTTGGACATTTCATTAATTGTGGAGTCCCTGTTAAAGGCTTCTGTAGTGTAATATGTGCGAATGGCTGAAGAATAGTGAGTTTGGTTTATGTTAACATGCATCTGGGAGACATTTTTTTGTTTTAATTGCCTTTTTAAAATTAGCTTTAGGGACCATTAATTGTAGATTTCTTCAGTTTGCCCATGTAGGGAAAAAAATGTCTTTTTACTCATTTTCAGTTCAGTTGTGATACATTAATGGCAGAGGACTTAAAACAGATGTGCTGTGTATAATGTCTTCTTCCTGATTACAAAAGTAGTATCTGTTCATTGTTTGAATAGTTGTGATTAAGAAACCGATAATTTAGGCCTGGCTGGGTGTGGCTCAGTGGTTGAGCATTGACCTAGGATCCAGGCGATCGGGGTTCAATTCCTGGTCAGGGCACATGCCCGGATTGCGGGCTCGATTAATGACTCTCTCATCATTGATGTTTCTATCTCTCTCTCCCTCTCCTTTCCTCTCTCTGGAATCAATAAAGATATATTAAAAAAAAAAAAAGAAACTGATAATTTAGGAATGAAAATTCCCTGTAATTCCCAGAAAAATGCATACTTAACATATTGGAATTTGTTCCTCCAGATTCTTTTCTATGATTATTTTGTTATATATTTGAATTGTAATTTACCCACCAATGTATTTAAGACAGAGATACATCTCTGGTGTACCTGAATCCTTTCATTTAACTGTGAGGGTTTGCAGTGTATTTTACTTGGTAGTCGCCACTGAGACCCAGAAACTCTCCAAGGAAGAAGAAGCTGTCGCTTCTACTCTGTGCCTGGCAGTGTGCTGAAGTGTTTCACTTGGATGATCTCTTAATTTTTCTGCCCACTCCACAGTGTAGGCAGGAGTTACTATGCTCTTTCTACACATAAGGAGACAGTCTTACTTATCTGTGTCATTCCTAGACCAAGCTCTCTGAAGCATCTGTACCCTCAGTGTCTTGAGGGGTGTGACTCCTGGCGCCTTGTAGATGCACAGTGATGGATGAATTAACAAAGCCAGGGAGAGTCCATAATGTTTGTAGAATGAGGGCTAGAGGGGCAAGTCAGTTTGTAGATTATCTTTAGCAGGAGATCCTCTTTTGATTTGGGGAAAAAGCATATGCTTTCAAACTGGGCTTGAATCTGGGCTCTCCCACCTACTGACTTGGGGATAAAATAATTTAATCATTGAAAGACTCCATTTTCTCACCAATGAAATCAGGAAAATATCTTTTTCTGGGGATTAAATGTGATATTGAATATAAACCTCTATAAATGTTAGTCCTCTCTTTCCCTGTGTTTGGCAGCATTGAAGAAGCCTAAATGCAATATGAATTTACCAATCTGTTGGTTCTGGTCATTGAGGGGTGTGGCGCCTGGCACATTGCTTCTGGTCATTGCCTTGATGAATTTTGACAGATTCTTTCAACAGCCTGTGTTGCCAGCGTAACAATGATCTGTCCCTTTGACCAGTGTGGGAGGACAGACTCTTTGCCATTCCTCTTTAATCCTGATACCAGAACAACTTGCATGGGTTCTGGCTTTGAAATATGTTTAGTGAGTTTATAATTCCAAACTGTTCAGATGGCATCAGCCCCTTCTTAGTAAAGCCATATGAGTTTCACCACCTCTTTTATACAAATGCAGTGGGAGCCACTCACATAAGTTGATGTTTGTGGTCCTTACATAGTCAGCTTACATTTCTTGGCAAATCAAGAAACATCAGAGGACTTGTAAGTCACTAGTATGTCTCCATAGGTTTCTCCAGTCCTTACGGATTACCAAGGTTTTAAGCCATGTTTCAGTTTCCACTGATACTTCTGGTTGTGACGACAAGAACACTTAAGTTAGTTCAGGCAAACTGGTTCATAAATTTATAGGTTCTTTGAATTCTTTGTTCCAGGCAAGTCTGAACAGGACCTGGAAAGCTGATTAAAAGGCCAGTGAGCACAGCGAGCTTAATTTTAAATTAAATGGATATTTAATGCGCAGAGAAAGTACTCAACTGCTTCAGTTTCTCTTTTTAATCCATGCTTGCTGTTGGAATCTGATGGGCTGGAAATCTTTTTCTGCTGCAAGAGTTGGTTATTGTTACGTTTCTCAAGCTCTGTGTTCGTTGTGGATTTTTGCAGGTGATTTTAGCACCTAAGGGTACAAAATTGTTAAGCGAAGGCAAGCATGAAGGAAAGAGTGCCCTGAGCGTGTGGGATGGACCAGAGAATGAACTAGGGTGCGCATGAAGGTGGTCAGTCAGTGTGAGGGGGCCACCTGGTTGTTAGCATCCTTCTGCCTTTGTCCAGCAGAACACATTGAAGCCTGCATCCTGCTACTAGTTGGAGATGAGTGGGTTTAGAAGACCGGTTATAGATTCCCCTCTCTGAGTATGTTAACTGCTTTTTAGGTGAGTCTTAATCTCAGACATACGCATCCCAATCCAATAGGCAGATCCGTGAAGATTTTAATATTGAGAGGATTTTGTTCTTTAAATTATGTGCTGTTACTAAGGCATTGCTCTTTATTCTAAATATTTGGTCACCGATAACCACTTATTCTGTTTGGATTTCAGTTAATTCTCAGTGAGATTTTGTGACCTGATAGAACAAAAAATGTGAGGTTTTATCTATTTTTTGCACGTCTGTATGACATTTCTGTACTCTTCATATTGCTGATTAGTATGTGCTTCAATGTAATCACTTACCTATTATGGATGGGTAAGACTTCTTTAGACCAAATTATAATGAAATTGCTTTGGTCTGCTTCTTTGACTCTTACGAAGATGGGATCAGTTTATTCTCAAATTTAGGGTGTTTGGCAAAGGACCTGCCCTTCTGAAGTCCACAATTCTGGACCATAATATTTTAGCTTAGATGAATCACCAAGTTAAACTTTTAAGATCATGCTATTCTTAATGTTATACAATGTTGGAAACCTTCTTTAAAGTTCTTCGTAAGATGGGACTGGTGGGACTGGGAGGAGCCTCTGGTTAGGCAGAATTGTGTGAATTTGGGGGATTCTGCAAGAGTGTAACTAAACATACACTGTTTTTGCTGTAGTGATATCAACTAATATTCTGTTGGTTGTTGAAACTTCTTTTATGACAGTGGAGCCTTTTGTCTTTATTTTTCAATTGGAAAATCTTTCTCCCCACATGAAAATATTGAATCTGGGCTACAAGGAGTTTTGCAATCTCTGACCTTCTTGGCTTCCCAAACCTTTAAGGAAAGCTGGGTGGGTATCCAGGAATCTGATTGTGCTCAGATAGCCACGCTTGGCATCTAGGACTTTAGGTGGTTTTTATATTTTTGGCAATAACTTTTAATTTTATTCTAATTCTCTTTTTTTCTTTTTCAGTGTCCTGTGTCATGAAACTTAATCCACAGCAAGCTCCATTGTATGTGAGTAAATCATGAAATTTCTTTTCATTTTGTATTTATCTATCCTGTTTACTTGTTATAATAAACCCCAAAATGCTGTTGTATTATTATCAGAGGAATTTTTAACCATCTACACATGAATTTATCGGCTTAATGCACTTTGGAAATTGAATTGATTTAGTAAATTGTAAATGACTAATACGTGCATGTTTGTGAGCTGAGTACAAATAATACCTAAGACTGTGAGCTAAACTACTCAGGATGATAAGATGCACATGTAAAACAGTTGCATTGCTCTGCAAAATGGTTTTGTGGCTTCTTTAAGTACATTTCTGTAAGGGCAGTGTGATCTTCCTACTGCCACTGTAAGTACCCTGTGTTGCCACTAGGTGGCGCTCTGTCATCGGCGAGAGTGCTGTTCACTCTAGGAGTCAATGAAAAGCTGATGTACCATCTCCCTAAAGTGAGGGACTTATAAGATGAAATGGATAAATGAATGAATCTGAAAGTAAATTCTAGGTGACTCTTTTTTGTTTTGTTTTGTTAGTCATCGTGTGACTGAGTGCTCTGAATTGGGGTGGTGAAAAGTGCCTGTTTAGTGAGGCGCCAGCTAAGAGGCATGGATAGTTAGAGCTGTGAGAGACCAGTGGATTTTGGGTTGCTGTAGTCTGGAGAGTTCAAAAAAACAGATTCATACATTATGTGGCCTTTTGTGGCTGGCTTTTTTCACTTAGCATAATGTTTTAAAGCTCATATTAGGGCATGTATTACTTGTTCCTTTTTATTGACTAGTAATATTCCATTGTATGGATATACCACATTTTATCCATTCATCGATCGATGGATGGGCATTTGGGTTGTGTCCAATTTGTGGCTAGTATGAATAATGATGCTTTGAACAGCAATTTTTTGGTGTAGGTATAAGTTTTCATTCCTCTTGGGTATATACTTAAGCATCTAATTGCTTCATTACATGATAACTTTAACATTTTGAGGAATTGCCAGTTTTCTACAGCAACTGCACCATTTTACATTTCCCCGAGTAATGTTGAAGGTTTCAGTTTCTCTATATTCATGACAACGCTTGCTGTTACCTGACTTTTTTATGGTAGCTATCCCAGTGGGTATAAAATGGTATTTCATTGTGGTTTTGATTTGCATTTCCCCAATGGCTGATGATTTAGAGCATCTTTACATGTGCTTATTGGCCATTTATATATCTCTGGAGAAGTGTCTACTCAGACCCTTTTCTATTTTTAAATGGGGTTATATGTCTTTTTATTAGTAAGTTGTAAGTGTTCTGTTGTTTTATTTTTTAATCCTCACCTGAGGATATATATATATTTTAATCCTCACCTATTGCTTTTTCAGAGAGAGTGGAAAGGAGGGTGGGGGGAGAGGGAGGGATAGAAACATCAATGATGAGAGAGTCATTGACCAGCTAGCTGCCTCCTGCACGCTCCCTGCTGGGGATCGAGCCCGCAACCCAGGCATGTGCCTGACCGGGAATCAAACCGCGATCCCCTGGATCATAAGTTGATGCTCAACCATTGAGCCACGCTGGCCGGGCCTGAGGAATATTCTTAATAAAGTCAGTGCTTTAAGTATGATTGTGTGTTCAGTTGGGAGGCTCTACTGAAGAATTTCTAAATTTCAGATTTCAAGTATGTCTGTCAGTAATAACACTTAATGGGGCAATTTGTTTTCTGTTTTTTACAAGGAGAGTGAATATACTTCATTCTGCATGAACTAAGTCAGGTCACAGGGACTTAGGCTGTTTTGGTGAAGGAAAGTACTCACACGACAGTTCATTGGCGAGGGCGTCAATTTTCTGCTCTTGGAGGAGTAAGTCGTACACAAAAGGACAAGAAGAGTGTGTTTAAGTTTTTCTTTCAGTTTATGTTTAGGATCTCCTAGGGGTGCGTATCGTCAGCAGATGAGAGGAAGCTATTAGTAAATAAGGAAAAACACTGGATCCTGAGAAATACAAAAAAACACAAGTCCCACAGAACTTAATGATAGAGACTTGCACGATTAAAGTCCTTTTTAAAAATAAGTAACCGAAGTTTAACCTTCCGTTTTATGTTTTTAAAATTTTTTAATGTTTTACTTGAAATAAGTTCAGATTTACAGAAAAGTTGCAGGAATACAACTCACCTCTGTTTATCTCTTACTAACATTTAGTCACATTAGCTTATCTTTCTCTGTATTACATATTTTTTGAATTGCTTGAAAGTTGCAGACAGCATACCCTATTCGCCTAAATATTTCAGCATATATTTCCTAAGAACTAGGACACTTTCTTTCATAACCTCCTCCCAGGACTCAGTCCAGGATTACACACTGTATTTAAGTCTGTGTAGTCTCTTAATCAGGAATAGTTCTTCTGCTTCTCTGTCTTTCATCATATTGACATTTTGGAAAATGATTGTTTAGTTACTTTGTAGCAGTTTGGGTTTGTGTGATGTTTTCTCCTGATTTGGGCAGGAATGCTCCATAAATGGTGTCCTTATTGGTGTATCATGTTTAGGAGAACACGTGCTATATTCTTGTCCAGTTACTGGAGATGCAAACTTTGGCCCGTTGGTTATTGTGGTATTGAGTTTTCATAATTTAATTTATCTGTTCCCGAGGAATTGGGTATTTAAAGAAGATGGTGTAATTATTCACTTTCCCCCTTTAATGTTGTTTCTGGTTTAGGAGTACCTTTTGCATATTGGAATTTCCTAACATGGGGCACACTTCTTCTAAGGTGTGCCCTTGAATATAAGGAAAAGGGTTGACATCAGCAGAGAGCACATTGTGAGTAATTCATTGCCTGAGGTTGAACAGAGTATTGTCTCTGCCCTTGTGGATACACACAGGGTTTTTCAACAAGTGTAATTTTCAACTAAGCTGTTGCAGCCATATTTAATACGGACCATAGTAGCCACTCTGTGAACATTTGTTGAGTGAATGAATGAAATACAATTTAGATAAGGCTATAAAATTTTAGTTGCTGATTTATTTCCCAAGTTTCTTTATTAATTTACCGCATGTGGGCTATGCATAGTTAGTGATGCCATCTTTGTGATTGAAGGTGTTGCTAACAAGGAAATAAATGTGATAACACTTTCTTTTTGTGCATGTATAACTTTTCTTTTATAGTTGTAAGGAAATCTGTACAGCAGATCTGATAGATTTTTTACTGTAGACATGTATTCTGGTGGGATAACTGTCTTACCTAGCAAATTGAAAAGGCATACTAGAAATAGTGCCTGTTATCTATCCTGAATTACTAGTCTTAATGAAACTTACGGTTTGAGTCACTTGTTTAAGTAAACTACCCATAAGAAACCACGTGACTGCTAATATGTTTTTATGAATACAGTACATGGGCCCTTTGGCTTCATGGCTCTTCTCACTGTCAAGATAAAAGCAAAGACTTTTCCCAGAATGGGTAGGGGATAAGGGATGCTGTCAGATGATAAAAGAAAAAGTCAGGCAGGTGAAACAAATGCTGGTATTTATTTATAAAACAAACAAAATAGGCCCTACCACCACCCACACACTAAACTCTACCAACCTAGCAACCTAACAACTGGGCACTAGTAACAGTAAACAAATCCTCCCCCAGAGTAACAGCTGAAAAGGAACTAGATTTTTAAACTTCCGAAGAGTAGGAGGAGGGAAAGGGTCTTTGGATGCCTCTTATCTTAGGCCCCAGGCTTATTCTAGAAGAGATCTGTGGAGGCCAGGCCTGAATCTCTGCAAGGTATAGTCTGTGTCAAGAATAGAGACCTGAATTAATCTCATAGTTCACATGCCAAGGGAAGTCACTTTCTTTTTCCTGTCGTCATTGTACTCTCAAAAAAGTTATGATGATGCACCCAAGTGAATGTCCCACAGTCAGGTCTCTGTGTAGAAGTGAACTCTGTGGGAGAGGTCAAGACTAGAGAAAAATGTGATGAGTCATAGGAATCATTGTTATTTTCAGTGTGGTTGAACCCAGTCTTCTGGAACAGTGAAGAAACTGAATTACAGAGAGATTGAGGGATTAACCTAAAGTTTCATCGGGGTTGTGATAGATCTGGTCAGGTAGCAGAATCGGCAAAGAATTAGCTTAGCCAGTGTTATAAGAGGCAGGCCATTAGTTGCCTTGAATTTATTTATTTAATTTATTTATTTCAATATATCTTTATTGATTTCAGAGAGAGGAAGGGAGAAGAACAGAGAGATAGAAACATCAATGATGAAGAGAGTCATTGATCGGCTGCAGCCCGCAACCCGGGCATGTGCCCTGACCGGGAATTGAACCCCGATCGCCTGGATCCTAGGTCGATGCTCAACCACTGAGCCACACCTGGCTGGGCAGTTGACTTGAGTTTAAAATGTAAAGTACGTGTGTGGAGAAGTTATAAGAGTCAATAAATGCACTAAGTAACAGGAAACACTAGTAGCAAAGGGAAGGCTAGAAGAACAGAGAAAGATTTGAAAGCTAGCATTGGAGTTCTCCTTTTCAGAGGAGTGAAGAGGTAATGTCTTTGTTGTTGTTACCTGAGGATATTTTTTCCATTGCTTTTCAGAGAGAGTGGGGGTGGGAAAACATAGAGCTACACATGGCCTGACCAGGGGTGGGGAGCGAACCAGAAACCCAGGTATGTGCCCTTTACCAGCAATGGAATCAAACCCTTCCATGCCCAGGCTGACGCTCTAACCATTGAGCCACACCGGCCAGAGCAACAGGAAACGTCTTTATGGGCTGTAGACACATCGGAGACACATTCCAGCTATTACTTGGAATCCCTCTTAAGTGGAAAAAGGAATCAAAATAAAACACGTAGTGTGTGTGCGCGTATGAGTTTTTAAAATTTTTCTTTGCTTGATTCCTTCACCTTTTTCACCCAGCCCCCTAAGCCCCTCCCCTCTCACAGCTGTCCGTCTGTTCTCTGTATCTATAAGTATGTTTCTGTTTGTTAGTTTATTTTGTGCATTAAAGTCCATATATAAGTGAAATCATAGGTACTTGTCTTTCTGACTGA